CCCTCAGCTCTTCAGCTCAAGGCGAGCGCTCTACCACTTGAGCTACAGCACCACTTCCGGTTTTTCTGGTGGTTTATTGGAGATAGGAGTCTCACAGTCTCTCTTGCCCAGGCTGGCTTTGAAACGCGATCCTCAGATCTCAGCCTCCTGAGTAGCTAGGATTACAGGCGTGAGCCACCAGCGCCCGGCTATTTCTTATTTTTAAGATAAAGTTTTACATAGTTTCTTCCTCAGTCCAGTTTCTTTCTGAGCTTTACCAGAGGCAACTGGTCTTCAGATTCATTTATGTTTTGTGTCTGTCATTTTTATATTAATATATTGTTTTTATATAATTTATAGTAACAATTGGTTTTGATTTTGGCTGCAGTAAACATTCTTGAGTCTGAACTTTGTTCATATGTGTAGTTCTTTTTTTACTAAATTAAAATAATGTACACACATTTAAATGCTAGATCACTCTGTGTGTTATCACAGTGTTGACACTTAATGCTTCTAGACATATATCAGAAAAAGAATGTAGTTGTCTTTCTTTGGATCCAGAGTACTACTTTGATAGGTGCTTCCATTTAATCATTTTACATGTCAAAAGTTACATTAAATCTGTAAACAGTTAAGATGTTTTATGGTCTCAAGCCTGTTTTTAAGATGTAAACATTACATACTTATAGTTGTTCAATGATACAATGCGTACTCACTTAAAAAGTATCTTTGGGGGCTGGGAAGGTGGCTCAGTGGTAGAGCACTTGCCTTGCATGCATGAGGCCCTGGGTTCGATTGCTCAGCACCCCATAAGCAAAAAGAAAAAAGCCGGAAGTGGCGCTGTGGCTCAAGTGGTAGAGCGCTAGCCTTGAGCTGAAGAGCTGAGGAACAGCGCCCAGGACCAGAGTTCAGGCCCCACAACCGGACCCAAAAAAAAAAAAAAAGAAGTATCTTTGATAGTAAGTAATACAGAGTTAACTTGTGAAACATGAAATTCAATGATTATTCTTTCCAACTTGTAATTGTTTATAAAATCCATAATCTTGTTTCTCCCTCCCTCACAACACATGGTATTCCGTGAGGTTAGGAAGATTTATTTAAAGGGAAGAAACAGAGGAATATCATTTTTCTGTGTGACTGATACATTTTACTTGAATTTATACATTTTTGAATTATTTTTATATAACTTAATACTAGTTCTTTTTCTTTTAGTAGATAATTGAAAGGTGACTTTTTTATAATTAGTAGTAAACATTTAAGAATTTATTATTTGACCAAAAGATAACGGATGCCTGGAGTTTACCTTATTCTAATTAAAATCAGTATTTCTCTATAAAAAAAAGAATTTATTATTTTGGCTGGGAAGGTGGCTCAGTGGTAGAGCACTTGCCTTGCATGCATGAGGCCTTGGGTTCGATTCCTCAGCACCATATAAGCAAAAAGAAAAAAGCTGGAAGTGCTGCTGTGGCTCAAGTGGTAGAGTGCTAGCCTTGAGCTGAAGAGCTGAGGGACAACGCCCAGACTCAGAGCTCAGGCCCCAAGACCGGACCCAAAAAAAGAAAAAAAGAATTTATTATTTTTAGATATTCATCCTTGTAAACTTTTAATAGGAAAATGGTTCAACTGTTGAATCATCCTGTATGATTGTTTCAAATGGCCTATCTTGCCTTCTAGTTGCAAATATGATATTTTTTACTTGTTTAGAGGTCACTGTTAAGCCTCTTTTTTGGGGGGGTCCGGTCATGGGGCCTGAACTCTGGGCCTGGGCGCTGCCCCTCAGCTCTTCAGCTCAAGGCTAGCACTCTACCACTTGAGCCACAGCACCACTTCCGGCTTTTTTCTTTTTGCTTATGTGATGCTGAGGAATGGAACCCAGGGCCTCGGGCATGCAAGGCAAGCACTCTACCACTGATCCACCTTCCCAGCCCCAAAAGATGTGATTTTTTTTTTGTGGGGGGGGTCGGTCGTGGGGCTTGAACTCTGGGCCTGGGCACTGTCCCTCAGCTCTTCAGCTAAGGCCAGCGCTCTACCACTTGACAGCGCCACTTCCTGTTAAGCCTCTTTGATGCGAGTTAATTTTAAGAAAGTCATTATACATTGTATGGACCATACTTGTCTTTTGCCATAAAAGAAAGTGTATTAATCCAAGTTTTTTCAGTTCTCTTTTACATTGAAATTTTCTTGGTACTTGATAACGTTTGTTTCATTTTCATTAGTTCATTTAATTTACACACTAGCTTCCTGAGTTAAATAAAGCAGTATCTTTTTTTTGGGGGGGGTCAGTTGTGAAGCTTGAACCTGGGACTGTCCCAGAGCTCAAGACAAGTGCTCTACCACTTGAGCCAAAGCTCCACTTCTGGTTTTCTGGAGGTAAGAGTCTCACAGACTTTCCTGTCTGGGCTGGTTTTGAACTGTGATCCTCAGATCTCAGCCTTCTGATTAGCTAGGATTACAAGTGTGAGCCACTGGCACCCGACAACAATATCTTATTTTTTATGCTTGAATTTATGTGTGTTTATGTAAGTGACTCAACCTTGCTAAGGATTAAAAAGTGAGTGATAGGGCTAGGATTCAAACCCAACTCACTGAATTCCATGTTCCTATGATTTTCTCTATACTCCACTACCATACTTTCATTAAGGGTATACTGAATTTACCTTTGAAGTATGAGGACTTAAAAACTTAAAAAAGTTTTTATTAATTGAAGACATTATTTTCACTGAATGCTTAACCTTATGAGTTGAAACATTAAAATTGTTTATGATTCTGTATTTAATGTGAACAAAACTCAATATATTAAATTGGCAATAATTTCTACTGTGCATTTCTAAAAATACTTGGCTTCTGAAGTTATATACCTTGATCTGTTACTCTAAACACTTGCAAGCTGAATGTAAGTCAGCATAACACTTTAGAAAGCTACTGATTTTGTTAATCTTCTCCTAGAAGACTTAAGTAGTTTCATAATCACACCAGTCAGCTAAGATTAACAGTTCCCTGTCTGACTTTATACTCTGATATAGCTACTTTCTGATTTAATGATTCAGTGATTAGATAAATTAATATGTTCCGTCATTGTGTCCTGTGTTTAATACATGGTATTTAATACACAGTAGCAGAATGTTCCTCAGAAGGAGTTATAACCTAGTAGATAATTTATTGATACCCACAATAATATCTGTACTGTTATATCATGTATACATACATACAAATATATACTGAGGAGTAGCTAGCTCGAGAGTTAATAGAGTTTAAAAATCTAAGTATAACTTTTGCTACTGTAAATATATTATCTCATGAATGTTTTGTCTCTTAGATGCAGAGCTCTCTTAGATCTCTTCGTAATAGTGCTGCTAAGAAAAGAGCAAAACTGAGTGGCAGTACTTCTGATATTGAAAGTCCTGATTCTGCAATGAAACTTGACTTGACCTTGGACTCTCCATCTCGATCTTCCTCTCCAAACATCAGCTCTTACAGCGAAAGTGGAGTTTACAGCCAAGAATCGTTGACTTCTTCCCTGTCGACAACTCCCCAGGGGAAGAGAACAATGTATTTAATTTCTTTGCCATGTTAAAAAAAATTGTGATCTAGACCTCTAAAACATATTTGGAAAAGATTTAAAATCATTTCTAGTGTTTAAAATGTTAAAGGATTGGGAATGTAGCTTAATGGTTGTGTGCTTGCCTAGCATGCATGAAGCCTGGGTTCAATTTCTCAGTATCACATAAACAGAAAAATTGGAAGTGGTGCTGTGGCTCAAGTGGTAGAGCACTAGCCGTAAGCAAAAGAAGCTCAGAGATAGTGTCCCAGACCCTGTGTTCAAACCACAGGACTGGCAAAAACAAACAAAAGAGACAGTGGGGAAGTTTATCCAGATTACCTTGCTTAGCCTCAGTTTGGATTTGGAGAGAACAGAACTCCAACTGCAACCTAGAACAGCTGAACAGCTCCAATTACCTCTAATTCATGGATGTTTACCTCGCTGTTATCCCACTGTATCTTACATCATGTTATTTTCATTATCATACAGAAACTCAGGACTCCATATCCTAGCTCTTTCTTGCCTATAGTAGGACTGGAATTAGAGCCCTGGCTCCCCAATCTCAATAGAATTATTTTTTTAAGTGTAACAATTAAGTCAATTTTTCAGTTTGCCTTTACAACCTCTCAGTCTTAAAAGTTGATCCTAATCTGATTCTGGTCATCTTTGTTATCCTGATATATGATTGAGGAAATCCATTTTCTCTTTATATTGGACAAATATCCAGGAGTAGAGGTGTTATGGTATAGACAGATATAATTACTAAAGTTTTCCAAAATTGTATAATTTTGTACTTTTTATCAGTTACGGTTGTTTCCCATTATTTCTAATATTTGGTGGTATTCTTTTGATTTTATTTTCCTTTCATTTCATCTTGAACCTTGTTTATATACTGCTATTAGTAAATACTTAAAAACTAAATTAAAATTACTCTCACTTTAGTGAATTAGTACCTCTGACAAATTTAGTCAGAGATCCTCTGAGGAGGCATTTTATTTTAGCAAGTCCTAGAATTAAACTGCAGTTTTTGTGCCATTCTTAGATGTTTGTTCCATAATTTTCTCCTTCATATATATATATATATATATATGTATATGTATGTATATATCTATATATATACATACACATACACACACACACACACACACACATATAAAACAGAGAGAGAGAGAGATTATTGTTGTTTTTGTTGGTCTTTGGGCTTGAACTCTGGACCAGGCACTGACCCTCAGCTCTTCAGTTCAAGACTAGTGCTCTACCACTTGAGCCACAACTCCACTTCCAGTTTTCTGGTGGATTATTGGAGATAAGACTCTCTCTGACTTTACTGCCTGGGTTGGCTTTGAACCTCAGTCCTCAAATCTCAGCCTCCTGAGTAGCTAGGATTACAGGTGCGAGCCACCGGCGCCCAGCTTTCTTCATATTTTTTAACTTAAACAGCAACTTTGAACTTGGAAAATTTTTGGAGGAAATCCCTATTGTAATGAACTAAGTAAAAATAGAATAGATTTACAAAGTGAATTTGAAATGACTTTGGTAAAGTAACTGTTCCCATGAAGACTCAAAACATGTATTTAGCTTTTAGACCTATAATGAAGATGAAATTTTGTCTTGTATAGTCCTAAAGTTGCACCATCCTTAAAAAATTTTCAAACACATTTGGTAAGAGAAGTTTATCTTGTAACATTTAGGATTCTGTATTTCCTCTATTATTTCACTGAAATAATATGCTCATATCCTCATTTATGGACTGAATCTCCTGTATTGAATTTAGAATTTCCTCTTTAAGTTCCACGTTTTAGCAGAATTATGTTTAGTTAGTTTGCTGCCTGCCCTAAAAATCATGCAAAAATTAGCTGCTGCTACCTGATTGATGCAAGGCTCTTATCAGGTGGATTGAGGAGGGAAATTGTTGAAAACCACCATTTTAGATAAGTTTTTTTCTTTCATCAATATTTTTTTAAAATGCGGGGCTGGGAAGGTGGCTCAGTAGTAGGGCGCTTGCCTTGCATGCATGAGGCCCTGGGTTCAATTCCTCAGCACACATAAGCAAAAAGAAAAAAGCTGGAAGTGGCGCTGTGGCTCAAGTGGTAGAGTGCTAGCCTTGAGCTGA